ACACATAAAATAATAAAATATTTTTTAAAAAAGAAAGGAAAAGGAATGAAAGATTAAAAGAATAAAGACAACTGAAATTGTTTGATTAGTTGAGAAATAAGAGACTGGACAGTAGGGGGGGGAAAGACAAGTATGAGACTATGTCCTGAGGGATAGTCTCTATAGTAATGATCTAGAGATAAAAGATGAGGAAAGGTCCAATCATGGTGACATAAGCCTGTAATCCCAACATGAGTTTTCTTTTAGAGGTAATGAAAATGGGTTTTAAAATTAATAGTGGTGATACTTGCTCTTAAAAGGATTAACTATATGGTACATGAATCATGAAGGTGTTATAAAAAGATAGTACCTTAGCCAGGCAGTGGCACACACCTTTAATCCTAGCACTCTGGAGGCAGAGACAGGTAGATAGATCTCTATGAGATCAAGGCCAGCATGGTCTACATAGCAAGTTCTAGGCCAGCTGGGGCTACAAGGAAATCCTGTCTCAAAAAAAAAAAAAAAAAAAAATAAAAATATGTCTAAGTACAAAGAATAGTCTAAGTACAAGATGGAACGCACACACACACACACACACACACACACACACACACACACACACACACACAAAAGAGGAGCAGGGAATTGTAGAAATAGCCTTTAAGAGCACTTGCTATTCCTGCAGACAATCTGGGTTTGGATCCCAGCAGCTACACAGCAGTATACTGTCTATAACTCAAGTTCTGGGAGATCTGATGCCCTTTCTGGCCTCCACAGGCATTAGGTATTCAGGTGGTATACATGCATACATGCAAACAAAACATTTATACACATAAAAAAGGGAATTGTAGAAATAGCCTTTAAGAGCACTTGCTATTCCTGCAGACAATCTGGGTTTGGATCCCAGCAGCTACACAGCAGTATACTGTCTATAACTCAAGTTCTGGGAGATCTGATGCCCTTTCTGGCCTCCACAGGCATTAGGTATTCAGGTGGTATACATGCATACATGCAAACAAAACATTTATACACATAAAAATAAATCTTTTTTTTAAAGAATAAAAAGAAAGAAAGACGGAAAAGGGGCTGGAGAGATGGCTTAACGGTTAAGTGTACTGGCTGCTCTTACAGAATACCTAGGTTTGAATCCCAGCACCCACACGGCAGCTAACAACTGTCCACAACTCCAGTTCCAGGGGATCCAATGCCCTCTTTTGTTCTCCATAGGCACTGCACAACACAGGTGCACAGGTTGTTATGCAGGCATAACACTCACATAAAATAAAAATAAATAAAAATAAAAATTTTAAATAGTAGATGTAAAATTTTGAGGACGGGGGCTGTAGAGATGGCTCAGCAGTTACAGCACTTACTGCTTTTCCAGAGGACCTGAGAGTTCAGTTCTCAGTACCCATGTCAAATAGCTCACAACTGCCTGTAACTCAAGCTCCAGGAGGATCTGACTTTTCTGACCTCCATGGATACCTACAGTTATGTACACACACACACACACACACACACACACACACACACACACACACACTCATCACATTAAAAATAATAAAAATAAAATCTTTGAAAATTTAATTTAGGGGCTGGAGAGATGGCTCAGCAGTTAAGAACACTGGCTGTTCTTGCAGAAGACCCAGGTTCAAATCCCAGGACCCACATGGCAGTTAACAACTGTCCATAACTCTAGTACCAGGGAATCCAACAGCCTCTTCTGTCCTCCACAGGCATTGCATGACATGGGTGCACTTACCTACATGCAGACAATACACACATACACATAAAATTAAAATAATAAATAAAATGCTTAGAAAAAAAATTAAGCAGGGCATGGTGGCACAAGCCTTTAATCCCAGCACTTGGGAGGCTGAAGCAGGCAGATCTTTGTGAGTTCAAGGCCAGCCTGGTCTACAAAGCAAATTCCAGGCCAGCTGGGGCTACTATGAATTTTTCTGCACCATATGTGTGCAATGTGCATGGAGGTCAGAAGAGGGCATTGGATTCCCTGGAACTGGAGTTACAGGTGGCTGTCAGCTGTCAAGTGAGTGCTAGGAACCAAACTCAGGCCCTCTGTAAAAGCAGCAAGCACTCCTAACCATTATACCATCTCTCCAGCCCCTAACTCTATTTCTTTTAAGACAGGGTATCCCTGTAGCCTGGAACTCACTAAACAGACCAGGCTGGCTCTGACCTCACAGAGATCCACTTACTTCTGCCTCTTGTGCGCTGGAATTAAATATGTGGGCCAGCACTCCCAGCCAGTCCCAAATCTAAAAATTTGAGGGCAGGCAAAGGAATTTTTTGGTGCAAACCTGACAACATCAGTTCAATCCCTTAGGGTCCACATGATAGGGAGAACCAACTCCTGAAAGTTGTCCTCTGACCTCCACATATGACCTCCACTTTGACACACTCTGGTGGGCACACACACACACACACACACACACACATAAATAAATAAATAAATAAATAAGTAAATCCTTAAAAAAGAACTATCAACTGGGGCTGGAGATACAACTCAGTGTAATTTCAAGCTGTGGTAGATTGAAAGAAAATGTCCCCCATAGGCTCCAAGTATTTGGACATTTTGTCCTCAGATGGTGGCGCTGTTTTGGAAGGTCTTAGAAGGTGTGGCTATCCTGGAGGAAGCACGTCACTGGGGGTGGGCTTAGAGAGTTCTTAAGTCTTGCCGGATCTCCAGTTGTTCTCTTGCTTCCTGTGCCTGCTTGAAGATGTAGAGCCTAGCTTCTGCTCCTCCTCCAGCCACCTCTGCTGACATGCCTCCATGCCATGATGGACTCTTGGCCCTTTTGGACCTGTAAGTCCAAATAAATTCCTCCTTCTATCAATTGCTTTGGTCAGTGTTTCTATCACAGCAACATAAAAGTAACTAATATACAAGCCAAGAATGGTGGCATGCACCTTTAGTCCTAGCTTCTCAGGAGGCTGAAGCAGAAAGATCATTTGAACTCGTAAGTTCAAAATCAGCCTAGGCAATATACCCAGACCCATCTCAAAAAGAAAAACTTCTGAGGTGGCCTGATGGTAGATGCCTATAAGCCCAATAACCGGGAGATGAAAAGCTAGAAGATCAAGAGTTTAACATCTTGGGGCTGGAGAGATGGCTCAGTGGTTAAAAACACTGGTTGTTCTTGCAGAAGACTGAGGTTCAAATCCCAGAACCCACATGGCAGCTAACAACTGTCCATAACTCCAGTCCCAGGGGATCCAACAGCTTCTTCTGACCTCTGTGGGCATTGCATGACACAGGTTCACTTACCTACATGCAGGCAATACATGCATACACATAAAATTTTTTAAAAAAAGAGAGTTTAACATCTTATTCTCACAAAAGGCAGGAGACAGCAGAGGTTGAAATAGGGTAGACAGATCACAACAAACTACTACTACCATAGAGATGCCCTGGATAATCAAGCTGACCCAAATGAATGAATCTGTGAAGAAGAGAAAGAACTGAGAGCTTCAAGGCAAATTACATGCTCATGACCAACGTTTAAATATGATATGAGTGATGGAGCAGAAACTACAAAAGTTAATGAAGAGCTAGACATAGTGATGCACACCTTTAATCTCAGCACTCAGGGGGCAAGGGCAGGCAGATCTCTGTGAGTTTGAGGCCTTACCTATATAGAGGTATTCCAGGCCAGCCAGGACTACATAATGATACTAGGGTTTTTTTTTAATTAAAATTGATGAAGACACAGAAGTTAACAAAAGAGCATACTCCAATGCTCTTTGTATGAAGAGATAGTGTTATTTTAGTTGCCCTTCTATTCACAGTTGGCTGAAGCAAAGAATTTATCCTGTGTAGAAAATTGGATACTTTGTAGAATTGCCTCTTCAAATATATAAGAAAAAGAAAGATGCCTGAATATATATTTTTTTTTTCAGAAGGGGTCTCCCTGTACTCCCAGCTGGCCTGGAACTCACTATGTAGACCAGGCTGGCCTTGATCTGAGAAAGACCCACCTGCCCCTCTCCCAAGTACTGAGATTAAAGACATGTGCCACCATGCCTGGCTAACTCACAACTTCTTAAGCTAAGCTGCATTTTTAATCTTCTTCAACCTTTCAGTAAACATAATCATTCTTTTTCAGGAATTGGTTTGTCTCATTGTTTTTGGAGTTAGTCTCTGATTGTTTCTCTTTATATTAATGTTTTCTTTAAAACAGGAAGGACTGGGAGGCTGGAAAGATAGATCAACAGTTAAGAGCAGCTGCTTTGCAAACGACCTGGGTTTTGTTCCTAGCACACATAATTAAGTTAACAATGATCTATAACTCTAGTTTCTGGGCATCTGACACACTTTTCTAGGCCTCCATGTGCATTGCACACACATGATACGCTTATATGCACTTATATACATGCAGGCAAAACATTCATACACATAAAATGAAAATAAATTTTTAAAAAATTTTTAAAAAGGAGTTCAATATCATCCTTATCTATATGGTGAGTCTGAAGCCAGTCTCAGCTGTCTCAAAAAACCAAAATGCTGGGCATGGAAGCAGTAGGGAGGCAGGAGCAGGAAGATCTCTGTGAGACTGAGGTCAGCCTGATCTACAGTGAGTGCCAGGACAACTGGGGCTACAGGGAGACCCTGTCTCAAAAAAAAAGCAAACAAGTAAGCAATAGAGCACTTACCATGCAAAACACCAGTTTGATTCCCAGCACCACAAAAATAATTACTCTTATATACTAGCTTTTTACATTTAATTCATAAATGTTCATATAAATGCACAATCATATGATATAAATAGTAAAATAAGCTTTTCAGTTTTTACCCTGATAAAAGGGATAAAGAATGCATCAATTTAAATTTGAATTTAAAGTTTTCCTTAATCATAAAGGAAATATTCAAATGCAAGGCTCAATTCAATCATTTCTAAGTATCTGAGCCTAAAGCTTCTAGTACATCTGTCTGCAGGTGGCATTCATGAACAACTGCCAAGAGCAGCTGTTCATAACCATATCTGTATCTTACGCCTCACCTTCATGCACAACTCTGCTTTGTCAAAGCCCATCAGCATGTTGATAATGTCAAATCCAGAGGTAGATTTATTCTTTTGGTGGACTCCTCGAATAAGTGCACACAAGGTCTGCAGAGATGAAAAAAATAATTCTTTCTAGAGAGGAAATCTCAAAAGCAACTACGACTTCAGAACTAGAATGCCCTTTTGAAAAGCTGACCTTCAATTTGTCTGTTACTCTGAGCTCCAAAACAGCTTGGGTGTTAATATGGGCAAAATTCAGAAATTAAGAGAGGAACAGTAGCATTCCTATAATCCCATCTCAGGAGATGGAGGTAGAGGATCAAAAGTTCAAGATCAGGGCCAGTGAGACAGCTCAGTGGGCAAAGATACTTGCTACCAAGTCTGATGACCTGAGTTTGATCCCCAGAACCCATAGAAGGAGAGAACCAGGGAGCTGGAGAGATGGCTCAGAGGTTAAGAACACTGACTGTTCTTGCGGAAGACCCGGGTTCGAATCCTAGCACCCACATAGCAGCTAACTGTCCGTGAGTCCAGCTCCAGGGGATCTGACAGCCTCTTCTGTCCTCCATGGGCATTGCACAACATGGGTACATGTACTTACATGCAGGCATATCACTCATACACATAAAATAAAAATAATTAAAAAAAAATTTTTTTAAAAGGAGAGAACCAAATCCCACAAGTTGTCCTCTGACCTCCAAAGGCACCCAATTTTATTTAAGTCATAAATGTTATGTGCAGGCACACACACACAAAAAAAATAAACACTAACAAAAAAGTTTACAAAGGGTTGGAGATAGCCAGTGGCACATGCCTTTAATCCCAGCACTTGGGAGGCAGAGGCAGGTGGATCTCTGAGTTCAAGGCCAACCTGGTCTACATAGTGAAGTCTAGGCCAGCTGGGGCTTCAGGGAAACCCTGTCTCAAAAAAAATAAAACAAAACAAACAAAAAAGAGGGGCTGGAGACATGGATCAGCAGTTAAGAACACTGGATACTCTTATAGAAGACCTAGGTTAGGTTCCCAGCACCCACATGATGGCTAACAACCATCCACAACTCTAGTTCCAGGGAATTCAACACCCTCTCCTGACCTCCATGGGCACTGCATGACATGGGTGCACTTATATATATGCAGGCATTAGACCCATACACATAAAATAAAATAAAATAGTTTGAGAGAGTGAGAAAAAGAGAAGCTAAAGGTCATTCTTAGCTACACAGCAAGTCTGAAACCAGCCTGGGTTACATGAGACTCTGTCTCAATCAAAAAAGAGGATTGTGCTGGGCATGGTGGCGCATGCCTATAGTCCCAGCACTTGGGAGGCAGAGGCAGGCAGATCTCTGTGAGTTCAAGGCCAGCCTGGTCTACATAGTGAGTTCCAGGACAGGCTGGGGCTATAGGGAAACCCTGCTTCAAAAAGACAAAAAAAAAAAAAAAAGAGGATTGCTAGGCTTTGTTAGGCACCAGGCTAGCCAAAAAAATAGCAAGTTCCAGGTTCAGAGACCCTGTCTCCAGTTAATAAGGCAGACAACAATAAAGGAGGATATTCAACTTCCTCTTCTGGCCTCTACACATGTGCATACAGGCACATGGAAGCACAGGATACACAAAAAATTTAAATTTAAATTTAAAAAAAAAAGAGAGAGGCTTTAATCTCAGCACTCGAGAGGCAGAGACAGGTGGATCTCTGTGAGTTCAAGGCCAGCCTGGTCTACATAGGGTGCTCCAGGTCAGCTGGGGCTACAGGGAGACCCGGTTTCAAAAAGACCAAAAAAAAAAAGAGAGAAGAGGAGCCTGGGAGATGGTTCAGTCATTAAGAGCACTGGCTGCTCTTCCAGAGGACCCCAGTTCAGTTCCCAGCACCCACATGGCAGCTAACAACCATCAGTAACTCCATGAATAACTCCAGTTCCAGGGTATCCAATGCCCTCTTCTGGCCTCCACAAGCATTGCATGCACTACTTGCACATGGTACATTTATACACATTCAGTCAAAACACTCATACACATAAAAATAAATAAAAAATAAATAGGAAAAAAAAGACTAACAAATGAAACTACTATCATTATTATTTTGGAGTGTCTGTTTTCCTTTGCTCTTTGTTGCTGTGTGGTCATTCTCTTAAAAACTGTACCACAGGAAAATACTTGAAGATGATATTCAATCCTAGCACTTGGGAGGTGCAGGCATAAGGACTAGGGGTTCAAGACCAACCTCAGCTACTTCTAAGGGTTCACGAGCACCACAAGAACAAGAACTAGGGTTGGAGAGATGGATCAGAGGTTAAGAGCACTGGCTGCTCTTCTAGAAGACAAGGGTTCAATTCCCAACACCTACATGGTGGTTAACACCCATTCTTAACTCCAGTTCCAGGATATCTGACACCCTCTTCTGGCAAAACACTCATACACATGAAATATAAATAAACAATATATATCTTTAAAAAAATAATAATAAGGTGAGGTCAGCAAGATGATTCAGTGTATGGGTACTTGCTGTGCAAACCTAGCGACTTCAGTTTGATCCCTGGAACCCACATAAAGATGGAAACTGAGAACTGATTCCACAAAGTTGTCCTGTGACCTCCACAAGAGTGTCATGGCATGTGTACACACACACACATACACACACATCACATGCATGTACACACACACATACACACATGTATCAAACACAGACACATAATAAATAAAATTAACTAAAAAATAAGGTAGAGCTGGGCATGGTGGTACATGCCTTTAATCCCTGCACTCAGGAGGCAGAGGCAGGTGATCTCTGTGAGTTCAAGGCCAGCCTGGTCTCCATAGTGAATCCAGGACAGCTGGGGCTACAGGGAGACCCTGTCTCAAAAAGACCAAAAAAAAAAGGTAGAAAGTAATTGAGGAAGACATTCAGTGTCAACCTCTGACCTCCACCTCCACCTCCACCTTCACAAACACATACAGATCATGCCAGTCGGCAATGGTAGGGTACGCCTTTAATCCCAGTACCAAGACAGAAGCAGGCTGATCTCTGTGACTTTTGAGGTCAGCCTGGACCATATAGCAAGTTCCAGGCCAGCTGGGGCTACAGGGAGACCCTGTCTCAAAAAGACCAAAAATAAAAACCAAACACATACACTAGATACACACACACACACACACACACACACACACACACACACACACACAAATCCTAAATAAAAAACAGGAAAATGGCTTAACAAACATTATTTAGATTTCTTTATTAGTTAAAGAAATTATAAAGAAAAAAGAAAGCAGAAGCAAACCTCACACCTAAAGGCAATTCTAGGTACCTCAGTTTCTAACAGATGGGCTACAGTTCCTTTCTCCTGTTAAACAAGGCTTCCCTAGTCTCCCAGCTTATACCTGTAATGCATTGACAACTCGAATTGGATGCTCCTCTCCCAGAGCCTGGATGCAGTGTTGAAACAAGCAATTAATATTGTCCTTGATCTTCAATAACTCCTCGCCATCAAGAGATTCCAGTTTGCCTTCTAGATAGTCTAAATTCACCTGTCAAAGAAACAATATGGGCCTGAGAACATTATTAGTGAAGCACCTAGAACATACAACAGGACAAAGTCACCAGAAAATCCCACATATGCCACCCACTCTTACCTTCATAAGGAAGAGCTCCTCCCAAAACCGAGGACTGCACTTACTGGGGTCCTCCTTCTGAAATCAGAAGAAAAGTATGTTCAACTTTCCTAGAAACTCCAAAAGCATTAAAAAAGGGGTCAGCCAGGCATGGTGGCACACACCTTTAACCCCAGCACTCCAAGGTAAAGGTAGAGGCAGACTGACCTCTGTGGTTTCAAGGTCAGCCTGGTCCACATAGTGAATTCCAGGCTAGCCAGGGCTACACAGTGAGGGGGGTGAAAGGAAAAAGAAAAACAAAAAACACTAGGGGTTGGAGAGATAGTTCAGTGATTAAAAGTACTTACTGCTCTTCCAGAGGACCCAGACTGAGTTTCCAACACCCACATCAGGTAGCTCACAACCAGCTATAAATCCAGTTCCAGGGGATATAACACCCTCTGGTCTCCTGAGGCACCAGCATGCACATGGTGCATGCATATAAACTCACATAGGCACACATACATAAACATAAATAAAAATAAATCTTAAAAAGTATTGTCAGGAGTTAGAGAGATGGTTCAGCAGTTAAGATCGCTGATTACACTTGCAGAGGTTCAATTCCCAGTACCCACATGGCAGCTAACACTGTCTGTAGCTCTAGTCCCAGGGGTTCCGACAGCCTCTTCTGACCTCCGTGGACATTGCACAACACGGGTGCAACTTACCTACATGCAGGCAATACACACACATACACATAAAATAAAAATAACAAATAAAATTTTTTTTAAATTTTTTTTAAAGTACTGTCAGCGGGCGTGGTGGCACACACCTTTAATCCCAGCACTCGGGAGGCAGAGACAGGTGGAGCTCTCTGAGCTCGAGGCCAGCCTGGTCTACATAGTGAGTTCCAGGCCAGCTGGGCTGTATCTGGTCTCAGAAGCCAAAATCAAGTGGCTAAAAAAAAAAAAAAAAAAAGTACTATCAACTTTATCTTTCAAACTTAACTCTGAAAATGTTTTCTCATTTTAGACTACTAATAGTTGTTTTAGAATTTTCTTTCCCAATGGAAGGTATTGTGTACAGATGTATATTCCCTGCACCAAAAGTCAAATAATGTCTCAAAATGTTTCCTTCAAATATTTCTCTCCGCCCCCCCTCAAAAACACACACACACACACACACACACACACACACACACACTCCCTCACTCACTCCCTCCCTCCTGCACTCCCAGTTACATAGCAAGTTCAAGGCCAGTCTGGAATATATAAGACCCTGCCTCAAAAATAAAAAAGAGGGGGCTGGAGAGATGGCTCAGTGGTTAAGAGCACTGACTGCTCTTGAAGAAGACATCGGTTCAAATCCTAGCACCTACATGGAGGCTAACAACTATCTGTAACTCCAGTTCCAGGGAATCTGACGCTCTCCTCTGGCCTCCACAGGCATTGCACAACATGGGCGCACTTAAATGCATGTAGGCATAACACTCATACATGTAAAATAAAAATAATTTAAAAATAAATAAATAAGTAAATAAATAAATAAAAATAAAACCCCAATATGGAAGTACATGCCTTTAATCCCAGCATTCAGGAGGCAGAGGCAGGTGGATCAAGGCCAGCCTGGTCCACATAGTGAGTTCCAGGACAGCTGGGACTAGGGAGTCCCTGTCAAAAAAATAAATAAATAAAATAAAGATTATTATTTTTTTTTTTTTTTGTCTTTTTGAGACAGGGTCTCCCTGTAGCCCCAGCTGTCCTGGAACTCACTATGTAGACCAGGCTGGCCTTGAACTCACAGAGATCTGCCTGCCTCTGCCTTCCGAGTGCTGGGATTAAAAGTGTGCACCACCACACCCAGCAACAATCATTAATTATTAATTAATTAAAAATAGTCCTAATCATCAGGCTTGGTTGTTGGGAGCTATTAGTATAAGCACAGCTGTTATGTACACTGAGCTGTGGCAGTCTTGCTTGTTTACTTTATGATCTTTCACCTTGACTCAAGAGTTTCTGTGTTTTGCACACAAGTACAGAATTGTTCTGCCAAGTCAGGAAGAATGTGTTGATAATTTAGGGAAGACTGTTAAATGGTTGTATTCACAACAAGTATTTGACCATTCCTTGACCCTCAGATAGAGATGGGAAAAAAGAGGTGCTGACGCTAATTCAGCTAAGCAAACTGTGGCTATCTGATGTTCTACTGTATAAGAAGGCTGAGCTAAAATAAACCCAGGCTGCAGTCTCTACTGACAGTCCTCCCAAGTATCCTTCTCTGTCTCTTGTTTTTCTTTCATCCTCACTCCCCCTTTCAGGTGTTGTTCATCTTGGCTGGCTGGCTCCGGCACTTGGTGGTGTACACCTTTAATCCCAGCACTTGGGATGCAGAGGCAGGTGGATCTTAGTGAGGTCAAGGCCAGCCCACTGGTCTACATAGTAAGTGCCATGCCAGCTGGGGCTACAGGGAAACCCTGTCTCAAAAAGACCAAAAAAAAAAAATGTCCTGATAGGATCCAACTACCTACTTGTTTTTATTTTCTGTGTAGCCATTTATACTAACCAGGACAACTGTGTATTAATTTTCTACATGTCAAATTCAGTTAAGCCAGACATTTTAGCACAAGACTGTAATTGCAGCACTCAGGATGTTGAGGCTGGAGGACTGTCACAAGTTCCAGGTAAGGGTGTTAGAACTGGCGAGATGACTTTACAAATAAAGGCCCTTGCCACCAAGCCTGATGACCTGAATTAACCTACACACACATATACACACACAGAACCAGTGACGTAGTACACGCCTTTAATCCCAGCACTGGAAGGCAAAGGCAGACATAGTGAGTTCCAGGCCAGGTGGGGCTAAAGAGAAACACTGTCTCAAAAAAAAAAAAAGACCAAATAAAAAAATCAGTGTTAAAATATATATATATGTATAGTGTAATCCATAGAAATATATGTGTCAGATATATATATATATATGTATATATATATATATACATATATATATATTTGGAGGACTAGAGAGATGGCTCAGCAATTAAGAGTGCTTATTGCCCTTGCAGATGACCCAGGTTCAGTTCCCAGCACCCACATCAGGTGACTCACAACGACCTGTTAACTCCAGTTCCAAGAGATCTGACACCCTCTTTAGCTTCCACTGGTTCCTGCATGCATATGATGTACATAAACTCATACAGGCAAAAACATATATATATATGGAAGCTATTTATCTTTCAAATTTAACTTTGAAAATGTTTTTTCATCTTTGACTATTAATAGTTTTTATAAAAAGTTTTTTTTGTATAAATAAATCTTACCAGGCATAGTGGCGCTTGCCTTTAATCCCTACACTTGGGAGGCAGAAGTAGACCAGCCTGGTCTACATAGTAAATTCTAGGTAAACTGGGGCTATAGGGAGACCCTGTCTCAAAAACACAAACCAACAAAGTAAATAAATCTTAAAAATAAGACAAAAACCTTTTCTTTTAAATGTTTTTTTTTTTTTTTTTTTTTTTAATGAGAGCATTATCAGCACCAACAACCACCTATTAACTCCAATTCCAAGAGATCTGACACCCTATTCTGGCCTCTGCTGGCTCCTGCATGCATGTGATGAGCATACATAAAAATAAAATAAATCTTTAAAATAAGAAAAAAACTTTTTTTAATGATAGTTTTAAAAACATGAGGGTATTATTAGCACCACTAAAGATTTTTTGGTAAGGATTAGAACTAATATATTTAATAATTCATCTGGAATAGTGCCAGGCATGTAATAGAAACTAAACATATGCTCTTTTATAAGTATTATTCTAATTTACATGTCCATGCATGTCCACAATTGCAGAAGGGAAGTACTCCTGCTGGGAACTTGCTGACTCTAAACTTCCTTCATAGGGTATACCTTATAACACAACACTGGACCATGGTCAATCAACAGTTTTGAACACTGAAATCTCCAATCCAATTGCTAATAATTCCTCAGTTATTGCATGTGACTAGAGAAGAAGAGAGTCTAATTAAACAATTATTCTGTCCACCACAACTTAAGATGGAATATAATAATGCATCTTTTCTGGGGGTTTTTGTTTTTGTTTCTGAGACAGTGTTCCCTGTAGGCCCAGCTGCCTTGGAATTCACTATGTAGACCAGGCTGGCCTCGAACTCATAGAGATCTGCCTGCCTCTGCTCCCAAGTGCTGGAACTAAAGGTGTTATCTGATGCATGTTTTTAAAATATCTGAAATTAGGGGACTAGACAGATGGCTCAACAGTTAAAAGCACTAGCTACTCTTGCAGAGGACCCAAGTTTGGTTCACAGCACCCACATAGCAGGTAACAACCATCTGTAACTCCAGTTCCAGGAGATCCAATGTCCTCTTCTGGCCTCTGTGGGCACTGCATGCTCATAGTGCTCTTAAATGTATGCAGGCAAAATACTCATACACATAAAATAAAAACAAATTCAAAAAAATACAATACCTGAAATATATTATAGAATTCAGATCTTGATTTTTAAAATGGTCTTTTTTTTTTTTCAGTATTTTGGTCTCCCTATAGCTCTGGTGGTCTGAAACTTATTGTACGCCTAGCTTTAAAAATGGTCTTAAAATTAGGGGTTGGAGAGATGGCTCAGCGGTTAAGAACATTGACTGTTCTTTCAGAAGACTCGGGTTTGAATCCCAGCACCCACATACCAGCTGACAACTGTCTGTAACTCCAGTTCCAGGGGATCCAACAGCCTCTTCTGTCCTCCACTGGCATTGCACGACACAGGTGTACTTACCTACATGCAGGGATAATACTCATATACATAAAATAAAAATAAATAAAAATATTAATTCAAAAAAATGGTCTTAAAATTAAATCAAAAAAGCCGGGCGTGGTGACGCACGCCTTTAATCCCAGCACTCTGAGGCAGAGGGAGGCAGATCTCTGTGAGATCAAGGCCAGCCTGGTCTACATAGTGAGTTCCAGGACAGCTGGGGCTACAGGGAGACCCTGTCTCAAAAAGACCAATAAAAAGAGCCAGGCATGGTGGCACATGCCTTTAATCCCAGCACTCAGGAGGCAGAGGCAGGTGGATCTCTGTGAGATCAAGGCCAGCCTGGTCTACATAGTGAGTTCCAGGACAGCTGAGGCTACAGGAAGACCCTGTCTCAAAAAGACCAAAAAAAAAAAAAAAAAAAAAAAAATTAAATCAAAAGAAAAGTGAGCCAGGGAGCTAGAGAGCTGGTTCAGCAGTTAAGAGTGCTTATTGTTCTGCCAGAGGACCAGATTCTTCCTAGCACCACATCAGGCAGGTCACAACCACCTATGACTTCAGCTTCAAGGAATCTGACTCCCTTTTCTGGCCTCTGGAGAAACCTACAGACACATGGAACAGACACATGGAATTCACTTACACAGATACACATAAATAAAAGTAGTAAGAAATCATTAAGTCAGGTGTGGTAGCACATGCCTTTAATCCCAGAACTTAGAAGGCAGAGGCAGGTAGATCTCTGTGAATTCGAGGCCAGCTGGGGCTACAGGGAGACCCTGTCTCAGAAAAACCAAACAAACAAACAAACAAACAAATAAATGAATGAATGAGTGAATGAAAGGAAGAAGACAGGAAATTAATTATTTCTAGGTCAGCCAGAGTTACACAGTGACAAGGGTGGGGAGGAGTGTCTGGCCAATATCACCCAGGAAAGGTGCTTGCTGAAAAAGCCTGGTGACCTAAATTCAATCCCTATAACCCATGGAAAGGTGGAAAGATAAAAGACGCTACAAAGTTGTCCTCTAATCGCCACACTCACTCAATGGTACATGTGCATATATGTGCACAGACACACAAAAATAAATAAGCAATAAATAAATAAATGAAAATTAAGTCTTTCTTAAAAGTATTTCAAAAAGAAATTACTCTAACCTTCCTTCCTAGCTTCAATTGTTTACCTAGATCATGACAACAAACCCCAACAAGTATTTGGGGACTGGAGAGATGGCTCAATAGTTAAGAACACTGGCTATTCTTGCAGAGGACCTGGGTTGCAAACCCAGCATTGACATGGCAGCTAACTGTCCATAACTCCAGTTCCAGGGGAACTGATGGCCTCTCTATCCTCTGCCAGCATTGCACAACATGAGTGCACTTACATACATGCAGGTAATACACACATATACATCAGATAAAAAGAATAAATAAGCCAGGCGTGGTGGTGCACGCCTTTGAGCCCAGTACTCGGGAGGCAGAAGCAGTCGGATCTCTGTGAGTTCGAGGCCAGCTTGGTCTACATAGCAAGTTACAGGACAGCTGGGGCTACAGGGAGACCCTGTCTCAAAAAGACATAAATAAATAAATAAATAAATAAAAGAGTAAAATATTTTTTTAAAAAGATCTCATTATTTGGAAGGTAGAAGCAAGAAGATCAGGAGTTCAAGGTCTCCCTTGGCTACATAACAAATTCAAGTCCAGTCTAATCTACATGAGATCCTGTCTCATGAAAGAAAAAAAAAAAATTTAAAAAAAGTAGGGCATGGTGGCATGTGCATTTGATCCCAGCACTTGGGAGGCAGAGGCAGGCGGATCTCTGTGAGGTCAAGGCCAGCCTGGTCTACATAGTGAGTTCCAGGCCAGCTAGGGCTACACAGGGATCCTGTCTCAAAAAAACCAAAAAAAAAAAAAAAAAAAGAATCAAGTGTGTTGGTAAGAGGAGAGCTCCAAGGATCAATGATGAGCTCTTATGGTAGAGAGTTATGATCATGGATTAATTACTATGGATTGGTATTTTTTTTAATGATCTTATATTGTCAAGTCTGTCCTCAAATCTGTGATGATCCCCTTGACTCAGCCTCTTGAGTGCTAGACTTAATAACCCTGAGAAGGTGGTACCAGGGTTATTTCTATCTTTTTTTTTTTTTTTTTGCAGATATAATGTGTAAGCATATTCACATGTAAGCATGTCCTGGTACATATACATGTATGCATTTGTATACATATGCTTATGAAGGCAAGGTGATGTCAGGTGTCTTCCTCAAACACGCTCCACTTTATTTACTGAGGCAGAGTCTTTAAATGAACCCAGAGATCACTGATTTGGCTAATCTAGCTGATAGCTTGCCCCAGGGATTCCATCTTTGCCTCTCAAGCATTGGGATTACAAGTAGGCTGACATGCCCACCCAGATTTTTATGTGGGTGCTGGGGATTCAAACTCTAGTCCTCACAGCTGCACAGCAAGCACTTTATCCACCAAGCCATCTCCCTAGACCCAATGAGGTTATTTCTGACTAAAGTTATTTGCACCTGCTGCTCATACAGAGGACCTGGGTTCAGATCCCAGCACCCACTTGGTGGCTAACAACCATCCTTAACTCCAGTTCCAGGGGATCTGACACCCTATTCAGACCTCAACAGGCAATGCACACACATGGTACACTTACATGCACGCAGGCAAAACATTCATACATATGAAACAAAAATAAATAAAACAATATTTTTTAAAAAGCTATTTGGACTAAGAAAGTAAAGAGTCAAGGTTGGGTGTAGCAGTGCATGTCTATGATCCCACCACTCAAGGAACTGTGGCAGGATGATCACGCTATCACACTAAGTTTGTGAACAGCCCAATCTACACAGTAAGTTCCAGGTCAGCTTAGGCGCTGGCAAGATGGTTCAGTATATAAAGGCACTTGCCACCAAGCCTGATGACGAGTTCAATCCCTGGACCACATGGTGGAAGAGGAGAACTGACTCCTGAAAGTTGTCTTCTGATCTCCACACACATGCCACGGCACACACACATCCTCATGAAAACACACATACACATAAATACACAAATACAATGGTTTTTTTTTTTTTGGTCTTTTTGAGACAGGGTCTCCCTGTAGTCCCAGCTGTCCTGGAACTCACTATGTAGACCAGGCTGGCCTTGAACTCACAGGGATCCGCCTGTCTCTGCCTCCCGAGTGCTGGGATTAAAGGCGTACACCACCATGCCCGGCCTACAAATATAACTTTTTTAAAATTTTTAAAGGAACTGGGCTTGGTGGCACATGCCTTTGATCCCAGCCCTTGGGAGGCAGAGGCTGCCAGATCTCTGTGAGTTCAAGGCCAGCCTGATCTACATAGTGAGTTCAAGGCCAGCTGATCTACATAGAGTTCCAGGCCAACTGGGGCTACAGGGAGACCCTGTCTCAAAATGACAGAAAAAAAACAAAAAAAAAAACAAAACAATATTTTAAAGAAGGGGCTGCTAGAGAGATGGCTCAGCAATTAAAAGCACTGGCTGTTCTTGCAGAGGACCTGGGTTCAAGTCCCAGCACCTATGCAGGCAATACACTCATACACATAAAATAAAAATAATAAATACATAATTTTTTTTTAATTTTAAAGAAAGCTGAAGAGTCAAGCTGTGTAGTCTGACAGGATTCCAGGCCTTACCATGAAAATCTCATCATACATCAGCACTACTTTTTCCTTCAGTGGTTTTTTGGAGGCTGAAGATTTCCGGAGCAAGCCTCCCCGTTTCTCTACTTGAGCCATGATTAGAGAATCTGTGGTGGGGGAGAGAACCACATTTTAGGGCAGTGAAAGTAATATGTATAATACTATAGTGGCAGAAATTTATCAAGATACCTTTGTTCAAACCCATAGAACAACCAGTACCACGAATGCATCCTAATGTAAACATGGTGGTAATGATGTATAAGTCAATATAGGTTCATTAACCATTACAAATATTGCTCTAATTGGGGATACTGTTAATAGGACAGATTGTGGATATATAGAGTGCCAGAATATATGGGCTCTCTCTACCTTCCTCTTAATTTTGCTGTGAATCTAAAATGCCTTTTTAAAACCAAAACAACAAAAAAAAGAAACAGTGTTAGTGACAAATGCTTGTGATCTCGGGGGTACTGGAAGCAAGAGGATCAGGAGTTCAAGGTCATCCTCAGTTTCATAGAGTTCAAGGTCAACCTGAGCTATGTGAGACCCATAAGAAAGGAAGGGAGGAAGGAAGGGAAGGAGGCACAGCTAGTGCCAGAATGCTCTCTAGGATGCTAGGGAATCTACTGAACCATCAGTGGGAAATTTTTTAGGAAAAACAAATGATAAATAGTTATGCTACAGATCCAGCACATTAATCCAATACCCCTTCTTCAGACCAGGTAATGTCAAGACTTAAATCATTACTGAGTCTACAGCACGGCACATTTTATATCCTTAAAATGCACCAGTGGACAAAGCTTAAAGCTGATCCAAAAGCAAACAGGAAAGTGTAACTAGCTCCATCTATAATAGGTCTGGCCATGTATTTGAGGTTGAAAAAAGGAAGGCTGCAAAGCACACATTGCCCACAGACTGATGGTGAGGTTTAATTTCAAATATTGATCGAGCTTAGGACCATTAAGGCAGGAAGTGTGCTACTGACTGATGTGTTCCATCGATTTCCCAAAAGTAAGTAGGTCCTCATCACTGCAAAGTACTTAGCCTTCACTGCCTCATAAATCACACTGCACTTGCCTATCTTCAGAAATTTGTCTGGAAAGAGACTTACAGGCAGAAAACAGCAGTTAAGAGGCCAAAAATGAAATCTGACTTCAAAATAACTCAATATAATATTCTTTTAAACTTAAATATATATATATGTATATATACATACACACACACACACACACTCATAACACACTTGCAGGTGAAACAAATTTATTTTTCAATTCTATATAAAAGCAGTCCTAGACTCATGACTAAATTTTCCCATCTTGCTTCAAGAAATTCTCAGGTTTTTTTTCAAGTGAGACTTGAAATCCCACAGGTCTCCACTATAGATTTACACTCATTTCCTTACCTCCCAGATTCATTCCATTATTAACAAAGTTCCTTCTCTCATAAACCCTGAACTCTCTGTATAAATATAAGTCTATGGGGATGAAGAGAGAGCTCAGCAGTTAAGAGCACTGGCTGCTCTTGCAGAGGACCAGGTTCAGTTCCTAGCACCCACATGGTGGTGTATGTCACCACACTGAGAATAAATAAATAGAACATTTTAAAAAGAAATCTAAGTCCATTCAATGACAGGTAGGGGAGGGGTTAGGGAGAAGCCTGACTTTATTTCTAGATCAATCCAAAACAAGAAAACTAATTTTGTAAAATGACTTTTGAAAATACATACTATCTTTCAAATCAATGCCAAAATTTTGTTTAAGCTGGGAGTGGTGACACATGCCTTTAATCCCAGCACTCTGGAGGCAGAGGCAGGCAGATCTCTGTGAGTTCAAGGCCAGCACTGTCTACACAGTAAGTTCTAGGCCAGCCAATATTATAAATGACACCCTGCCTCAACAAACAAAACAAATTCTTTTGTATATAACAGATGCACTCAACAGAACCAAAGATTCTAGCTCAGATATCATCTTGCTCTAATATCACAGTCAAAAAGGGAGATTCCCACATCAGAGCATGTATCAGGCCCAGAAAATGTCCCCAAACAGGTAGCAAACACCATTAGCACAGGGACTACATCTTAGATGTCTACTGTAAATACTTGGTTCATAGTAACTGTTCAGCAGATTTGTTGACTGAATAAAGAGAAAACTTCTCAAAAATCATAGATCTAATCAGACATGGTGGTGCACATCTGTGATTCCAGCACTCAGGAGGTGGAGGCAGAAGATCAAGAGATCCATTTCATCCTCAGCGCTACAAAAAGTTCCAGGCTAGCCTAAACTACAAAGAGAGACCCTGCCTCAAACTCTGGCTGGGCATGATGGTGCACACCATTAATCCCAGCACTTGGGAGGCAAAGGCAGATGGATCTCTTTGAGATTGAGGCCAGACTGATCTACATAGTGAGTTCCAGGCCTATTGAGGCTACAGGGAGTCTCTGTCTCAAAACAAAACAAAACAAATCAATTCTGGCCAGATGGGCTAGTGATATGGCTCCCATCAGGTAAAGGGGCTTGTTGCCCAGCCTGATGACCTGAGTTCCATACCAGGGACCCACATGGTAGAAGATGTGAACCTATTCCCAGGTTGTTCTCAGACCTGTATAGCATGTCGTAGGCATACCAACACAAAAAATAAATAAATAAATGCAATGAAAAAAAATTAAACTCTGACCAAGAATGATGGCTCACATCTGTAATCCCACCTCTCAAGAGGCTGAGGCAGGACAATGGCAAGTGTTCAAAGTCAACTTGGACTACAGAGGAAGTTCAATGCAGGTCTAGGCTACAGAGTAAGACTGTCTCAACAAAACAAAACCAAAGCCCTGGCATGGTGACACACACCTGTAATTCCACCACTCCGGAAATGCAGGTAGGAAGATCATGAATTCAAGATTATTTTCAGCAAATAGAAAGTTCAAGGCCAGCTGGGCTACCTGAGACCCTTTCTCAAAACAAAAACAAACAACAACAAAAACATAGCAACTTTCAGGCTAACCAGGGCTACAAAACCCTTTTAAAAAAAAAAAAAAAGACTGAGGCAGTGCATTTACCTAGCATGGAATACACAAGGCTGTGAGTTTACTAGTACAGAAAGAAGAAAAAAAAAAAGTCCTGGGTTGGACCTAAGTTAGTTAAGGCCTGTCTCTATTATTTCACTAAGCTTTTAAATTATAACATGGTCTAGAGAAAAACCAAAGGAAAAAATAACCAAAAAAGAAAACTCTTTTAAAAAGACAATTTACATGCTAAAGCATGAAATATAGCTCCTGCTCAAAACACTTCTGTGTGGTTTAAACAGGTTGTCAGAAGAAAGATGTCCTTATCCAGGGACAATAAATTGGAAATCAAGAGGATCCTATTAAAATAAATCAAAAGCAATTCAATTCTAAGCTTAGTGGATATAGATCCTGCATGTGCTCAGCTTCAACCAGTTGATTAGCAGGACATCAGGAACTACAAGTTCCTAGATGTAAAAAGCCCATGTTTATAAACATCCCCCTCTGAGGATTTATAATTGGGTTACAGCTAATCAATGTTCACTCCAAATCTAATAAACTCACACTCTCTATTTCAGAATCAATACTTTCTAATAAGCAAAAGGGAATAGAAGAGGGAAAAACAATTCTAATTCAAGCTACCAAATTTCCTAAGAAATTAATTCTTTGGAGCAAGAGAAAATACCACCAAGGGCTTCAACTGGAATTTACCACCCAATCTGCCTGTAAACAGACTAGAAACTGACAACACAAAGCCTTCTCCAGACAGTTTCTGGGATAGTAGACTAGAAGAAGTACAGAACTAGGGCTGGAGAGATGCTCAGTAGCTAAGATCACTTGCTGTTCTTCCAGAGGATCTGGGTTTAGTTCCCAGCACCCACATAGCAACTAACAACTGTGAGATCCAACTCCCTCTTCTAGCCTCCACAGGTATCAGGTATGCGCATGATACACTTACATACATGCAGGCAAAACATCCATACACATAAAATAAAAATAAGGGGGTTGTTTTGTTTTGTTTAGGTTTTTGTCTTTGTGAGACAGGATCTCCCAGTAGCCCCAGCTGGCCTACAACTCACTATGTAGACCAGGCTGGCCTCAAACTCAGAGATCTGCCTGTCTCTGCCTTCAGAGTGCTGGGATTAAAGGTATACATCACCATGCCTAGCTAAAATAAGTAATTTTTAATTTAAAAAAAAAAAAGTGTAGAACTCGTAGAAATTTTTCTTTGGGTCTCAGAAATTAAGCCTGTGCTCTCAAACTTGAAAATAAAATATCCTGGGGCTTAGTTGGTAGAGGGCTTGCCTAGCATGCATGAAGCACTGGGTTTAGTCCCCAGTACCACATAAACCAGATGTGGTGGTACACATTTATAATACCAGCACTGTAGATAGAGGGTGAGGCAAGGAGGATCATAAGTTCAAGGTCAACTTCAGCTATACAGCAAGTTCAAAGCCAGCCTAGGATACAGGACACCCTATCTCAAAATAAATAAAATAGCCGAGCATGGTGGCTCACACCTATAATCCTAGTACTCAAGAAGCAGAGGCAGGAAGATCACCAAAAGTTTGATAGCCAGCCTCATCTACACAGTGAGCTCTAGGCCAGTGAGGACCATATAGTGAGACTCTGTCCCAAATAAATAAATACATATATAAGAACATCAATAAATACATACATGCATACATTAAGTAAGAAAATAAAATATCAGGTTGGAAAATATCAGATTGGTGAGCAGTAAGCTGCAGGTATCAGTATGTGAGAGTAATGTTTCCTTTTTCTAACCACTTTTTCCTTTTAAAAGCTTCCCCTTCATAGAAAAAAACTGATAACAGCTGGGCAAAGGACAAACCAACCAGCAGAACTAAGTCTAGAACACAGTCTAAGAGTCACTGCACCTGTTTCCTTACAAGGAACAGAACAGTATTGACCTCTACTATCTAAAAGTTCTCTCAGCATCAATGAAATGCTACAAGTATGAAAGGAGCACTTACTACATAGAGCACTGGCTTAGGCACCATGGAGTACACAAAGGAAATTTCAGACATGATTTTCTGGGAGCTCACAACCTATTAGTAGAGACACACATATAAATGGAACAGAGGGACA